CCTCCCTCCCTCCCTCCCTCACGCTCGCCCTCGTCCCCCTCCCCTCAGCGGGGCGGCGCCTGCCGCTTTAAGGCGGCGCGTGCCCGCGCGCGGCGGGGCGGGGCGTGGTGGCGGCGCGCGCTTCACCTGCAGCCCGGAGCGGGCAGCGAGCGGCGGGAGCGGAGCGGAGCGGGGCGGCAGCGGCGACCCCCGGCCCCGGCTCCGGCTCTGCGCGGCCACCGCCCCCCCCGCCCGGCGGGGCCATGGGGACCGGCTCCAGGGTGCTGCTGGTGCTGCTGCTCCTCCTTCCCATCTGGGGCTCGGCGGCGGTAAGTGGGGCGCCCCGCGGCGGGGGAAGGGGTGGGGATGGGGGGGGGGGGGGGGGGGGGGGGGGGGGGGGGGGGGGGGGGGGGGGGGGGAAGGACAGCGGGGCGAGCATCCCCCATTCCCCCTCCCTCAGGGGTGCTCCGCGCACCGCCCGGAGCTGCCGCCGCGCCGCCCCGCCGCAACTTCGCTTTTCGGGTGGCGAGTGATGCTGCTGCTGCTGTTTCGCCCGCTTTTTAACATCGTCGTTGCGAGCTTTAATTGTTAATTTAAAAAAAAAAAATAATCTTTTTTAACGCTGTGCCTCCGCGGTGCGGGCGCAACTCGCCCTCCGTGCTTGCGCCTCGCCGGAGAGAAACTTGGCGGGCAGCGGCGCGTCCCGGCGCGGAGCCGCTCCGCCCGCAGAGCCCCGCGGTACCCCCGCGGCCGCGCAGCGCTGCGCTCCCCGCCACCCGCCCCGCGGAGCAGCCGGGAACTCTTATCTTTGCGAGCCCCTAAACCCACCGGGGTGGGCCCGGACCGTGTTCGCGAGGGGGTGGTGATGGTCTGAAAAGTTTGGGATTTTTAGGGTTTTATTCCCACCCCGTCTGAAATGAAGGGGTTTCTGTAGAACACCAACAAGCGCCTGGACGCGTGGCTGCAGTGTTACAAAGCGAGCGGGGCGGCTGCTGGGTTTCGGGCTGCACTGGCTGCGGGAACAAGAGCCGCTTATTTTTCTGCCTCGATATCCCCGGTGCCAAGTTGAATGTGTGAGGATGTCCCGAGCCCTGGGGAGGCTGCTGGGTGCACAGGAATAGCCCCTGTGCGCTCTCGTCTAGCGGGCACCGCTGTAATAATGGGGTGATTTCAGATTCAAAGCCTGTTATGTTCAGCGAGACCCTTTGAAATGTTTCCTAATGGCAACATCTTGCCAGTGACGGTCAGAGTCCACAGAGCCGCCGCTTCCTTGCGCTTCCCATGCAGTAGCTGGCATCCGTCTCCCGAGCGTGATTTTTTAGCCGAGTACGTTGGCTTGCGTTCTGCTTACTAAGCTCATCCGAAAGGACCCTTCGCTCCGCTTCCCTTCTGTCTCTCTCTAATGCAGCATCGTCTGCGTCCGGGAGCGTCTCGGGGGGCTCAGGGGAGCTCTGATGCTCCCCCAGGGGAGGCAGGTGCACGCCTGGAGTTGCACTTTCCCGGGGAAGTGCCTCTCCCGCTCCCTGGGCTTCAGCCTGCGCGGCTGGGACTGGAGGCGTCGGAGGTGCAGCCGGCATCGCTAAGCGATGCTCTGGCTGGCTCTGCCGACAGCCCGGGCGCGTTAGAAATCCCCTGCCACCAGCACTTGTTTGTGCCTAAATCACCTGGCACTCGCTAGGCATAAATCACTGGCTTGTGTGCTGTCAGCAAGTTCCTTGGAGTTGGGGTCTGGGACCTTTCTTGCCAGGGAATCCCAAGGAGCCTGGACTGCTGTGACTGAACTACTTTGTCCCTGTGACAGGGGCTCGATCCCCTCTGTGCAGTCCAAAGTTGTAGCTGAGTGTTTAGCTGGATGCTTCTCCCTGGATCCTGGCACGCTGTGTATGAGACTGTGCATTGTTACGTTTTTGATTGAGATCCCCTCCATCCTTTCCCACTACTGGGGCAAGTGCGGAGCCTGGAGGGGCCCAGAGGCAGCAACAGGCAGAGTCTTGGAGGCTGGTGCAGGGTGAAGGGGAAGGAAGGGTGTCTCTACCTGGTCTCAGGCTCCTGAGCCTGCTGTAAGCTGGCTGTTTCTTCCCCCTTCTGTCCTGTGGTTTGCCCAGTTTCTCAATAGCAAACCTCAGTGATTTGGATGTTGCAACATCAGGCCTTTCCGCGTCTCCAGTGCGAGCACAGCTCGCCCTGATGAATTGCTGCTCTTTGTTTCCTCCCCTCTTCTGACAGTGCCCAGTATCCCAGCCTTCCTACAAACAATGCTCTCTTGTAGTCAGGCAACTACTTGCTGGCCCATTTTATTTTTGCAGCTACAGTATGGATCCACTCCAACAGATAGACACTCTAACACCAGCAGCTTCTACTTGCACGCTGCCTTACTGTGCAGGTTTGCCCGTGGCTAAAGCACCTCATCACTGGGTAACAAATTGTTTTTGCGAATGACAAAAGTCATGGTGCGCATTTTCCTTGTTTGTTGCAGGCACACAATGGGGATCTTACAGTTAGACCCACATGCAAGCCTGGCTTCTCAGAGCACGACTACACAGCCTTCGTCTCCCAAAACATCATGGAAGGGCAGAAGTTACTCAAAGGTAAGTGGAATAAAAAGCTTAATAGCTTCTGCAATAACTGTATTTTCAGGAGGTGAAAGGAGGTTTAAAGATGCTGGTTTTGATGGTGAAATTGTCTGCAGAATTATGTTTGTAGGAGGATGAAACACTAAGTGGTTTACCTGAGCACAGTTTTGAATACAGATGAATCACTGGAAGTCCGTGTGCTGTCTGCTCCAGGTGGATTGTTTGCTGTAGTATGCGAGGTCATCACTTCACTCTTAAGTCTCCCACTCCCACCCCGTCTGAAGGAGCTCTACACTGGATATTTTAGAAAGTATTTTTATGTATGAAATTCAGAGATCCCTAAATTATCCCTGCTTTGAAATGCATGATAAAGCAGACGTTGTTGTTGGAAATGTGGTAAACAAGCCTACAGACATTCTGTTCACAAATGTGGCATTCATTTTCATTACTGCCCCACTGACAACATGAAAACACAGGCAAAAAGAAACTACCAATTAGCTTTGTAGTAATTGCGGGATTATAACCAGTTTTGTGATTGTAAACTCTGAGGCATCTTCGTAATCCAAATAACAACAGATTATGCTGGGTATTGATTTGTCTCCCTTTCAAGTTAAAAATAATTAAACTTTCTCCAAAAGAATTTTTGAAGATCAAAACCCACCCCCCCAAGCACCCCCAGGAAGTTGGGGAGCACATCAGAACGATGTTCTACTCAAGGATTTATAAACCTTTTGCTGCTTTCTCCTGAGTACAGTTACTCACATGCATCTCTCTGCCAGAAAGCTGGGATTTCTGTCTTCCTCTAGAGCAAACACCTGCTCTGTTACTTTGATTTTTCTCAGAAAAGAGGGAGAGTTGTCAGTGTTCTCTCTGGCTTCAGCAGAATCCAGGACTGGACATTTTTGCTCTACATGAGCTGGCAATTCGTTTTGTTTCTGGGCCCAGTTGTCTTAGTGTTGCTGTTTAGGAATTCTCTTGCCTGGCCTGGCATCAGTCAGTAGACATTGGGGAGTTTGTTGTTAGTTTAAAAGGTAACCAAATAAGGAACTGACACAGACAATCCCAGGAATACAGCAACATTGAAGAGACCAAATACCAATCGTTTACACACATAATACCAATTTTTTCCCGAAGATTTACAGTGGCTTTACAGGTCAGTCTGGAAACTGAGTAGATTTCATGCTTTTTTAGCTTTGGAAATTATTTGATAAAAAATGTTCTCCAAGTACTGCAGACTGCAATATCATAAATACATTTGCTCAGAAGAGTATTTTTTTGCCGTTTAGTGCTTGATAAATTGTGCTGTGTGTTTATGGAGGTGGACAACAGGGATGGAACAGAAGGTCTCTTTAGAGGCATTAACTGGCAGTGACTTTCAAGACAGCACAGTGGCTGTCATTTCACTTCAGTTTTAAATGGTCATTTTTAAATATGAAATTATATTTACATAGGCTGTCAAGTTGATTTGAATGAAAATATATTTCCATTGAATATTATCCTTTAGGGACCAGTTGTAGTTTTACATTAGTCATGGCAAAACTGCCTCTGATTTAAGGCTGAACTCACCCTGTGGACATTATGTATCCATGCCCCACTTGTAAGATTCATGACCCGATAACATTGTCACAAGTTCCATGATTTGTAAGCATTTTGTCAACCCAAGGAGGAAGAAAAAAGTGCAAATGCTGTGTTTGCTAATAAGTAAACTATCATCTTTACACCTTTTAATCTACAGTCAAATACATGCTGTTGTTTATCATACGAAGCAAATATATCTAATTAATTTATACAATAATGGGCAAGAAGATTCTTCTTCATGCATGTGTTGTTTTTTTATATATACTCTAGCATGTAAAATTGGTAGCTTTCCAGTTTAGGTTTAATTTTACTTCCTAACACTTGATGTGTCTGAAGCATAAAATGTTTATCTCTTTCTTCCATCTGGGTGAAGTATTGTACAATAGTTCAGACCAAAAATGGGTTCAGATTGCTTACATTATCGTGTTTGATAGATTGACATATGTACTGTTTCACACCATCTTACCACGCAAAGCTTTGCTGCCAGCTACCACCATCTTATTCATCAGCATTCAGTAATTCATCTTCAGGCCAAATGGGACTGTTTGCCTGGGAGGAAAGGGAAAAAAAAAAAAAAAAAAAAAGGGGAGGAGGCAGGAATTCACCTGTCAGTGCTTTCATGGAATTTGGAAGGTGGGGGGGGGGAAGTGTATATGTAGTTCAGATGGCTCTCGGGGGATTTCAGTGAGCAAATGTAAAGTCTTTATGGTGCATAATCCTCCCTTTGTCCTGAGGAAGGAGATGTGGGACAGTTTATACTGCCTGAAGGCTTGTTCATCAGAAACCCAGGAGTGTGTAGAGCTCAGCACAGTGGTGAACTTCCACCAGCTGGGGAAGTCTGGGTGTTGCATGGATCAGGATAAGCTACAATAAACCCAACATCTCCTTTTTAAGCTTTGCAATATCCAGCTCTCAAATGTATGCAGTGTTCTGAACATATCAAAATGAAAGTGTTTATAGTATTCTAGGTTTGAATCAAGTTAAATAGATAATGACTGCTTATAATTGGCTTATTCCAATGGAAATAGCTTAGCCTTAATTTGACAACAAGAGCTTTTACAGAGTCATTGTTTTATTATAAGTATGCCGTAAGCTATTAGCTACTACTTTGTGGTTCATCTTATTTGCCTGAGTCAGCTCTCTAAACATGCTCCAAACATACAGATTCTAGCAGGAGCTATTTGTTACACAGTAATTAACTTGTTTATGATAAATGGATGGGAGAAATGTCACGGCATTTTGTTTTATGTATAAATGAAAAGCATCTGCATTCTAAAAATTCCATGTTAATTAGACTTAAAATAGTTTCCCCCAGCAGTACCACAAATACCACATATTGCACATCACTGCCAGCCCTGTGGCCTGATGATGGGGTATTAGCTGAGGTGATTTGTGGAGCCAGTGCCTTCCTTAGAAATGCCGTCCCTGCATCTCTTAATGAAAGTTACTGGGGTGTAATCTCTTATATTTCTTTTGTCTTTGTATTTGCTTGCAGGATAATAAACTTAGCCTTGATCACTGATGCACGATAATGTTTAAAATAGGTTTGTTAACTATCTTCTTCTTTAGCCTAAGGGGAAAATCTCAAAGCCTGCAGTATGGCAGAGGACGATTGCAGCACGGGTATCTTTTTCTCTTTGTTAATTATTAATGTGAACTTAACATGGTGAGAACATTGGTCCTGAGGGGTGGGGAGCAGTGACATGCAGTGCTGCACCAAAGGCAGTTCAGCAGTGACCCCAGGGATCTGATCCCTGAGTGTGAACTCCGGTGCAGGGGAGTGATGATGTCTAGTGGCCTCTTGGGGAAAGAGAGAAAAAGGAGCAGGATGCTAAAAGTGGTGTGCAGCGTGATCCAGGGGGGACTGATACTCTTGATACTTTATGCCCTTTTCAATTTTTTTTTTTTTTGGTAGGGTTTTTAAAGATTGTAATTAATAAGAAATACATTTTATCAAATGAGAAGCCCAGGTTTTGTTGGCGCGCTGGGAGGCTGTGGCAACTGGGAGGGGATGGGATGACATCAGGGTGTTAAATGCGTTATTGCTCTGGTGCAGTAGCATCACAGTACAGCAATCACCTCTCAGATACACCTAAACCAAAGCGCTCACAGCTTTACCTACCACCAGGAGACAGCACCAGCCGCTGGGATGTGCAGCCCCTCTTTGGTTTCTCTGTACACCTCTTCCTCTACAGTGATTCATGTTTCTGTTGCCCACCCCAAGCAGTGCCTGTAGTGCTGTAGCAGGATAACTTCACTTGTGTAGGCAGCTACGTTTGGGTAAAAGTGTGTGGAAGCACAGTTTATTTTCGCAGGGGAAGATGAATAAACTCTGCCAGCATGTTCTGCTTCAAGCAAGTGTATGAAACCAAAGGTAGCCAAGCTCATGCAAATGTATAAAAATGTAATTGCTTCCATACTAGGATTTTTACTAGTCATATTTTGTGTTAGAAACGAATAAAATGCATAAAAGCTATACTGAAATACCTGTTTTTTAATAAGGATTCAGTATGGAGGCTGTCTCTTTTAAGTTTTTTAAAGGTAGGATGTTCTTGGTTGAAAGCTTTTTTGTTCTCCCAATGAGTTTTCAAAACCTCCATCCTATTTAGCCCTCTTCCTAACCAATGTTAAAGCTCAGGAAGGCTGTGAATACTGTTTTGAAGGCATAAAACAGATAGACCAAAGAACTCCAGCATCCCCAGTCTTCATGGGATACAGTAGATAGGGTAGGCTTCCTGCTTTTCCTTGGTTTAGAGTCCAAAAATACACAGGTACCCATCTGCTGTTCATTTTGGTAGGAGCTTGGTTCCCACAGGGTTCTGCAGGTCAAGGTTTGCCCCTGAAGGGTGTGTGGCCTCTTCTGCCCCTGGTCATGCTCGTGTCTTCTTAGTGCCCCTTGGTGTGTTTTACAGGTGTTTTTGGAAAGGGAAGACCATGGGGAATGCTGGGCTTTGTTCTGCTTTGTTTGGTGGGGTTTTTGAGCACCTCTTGAGGGTTTCTGTTCCTCTGCTGCAGCCTGAAATAGCCAGGGCCTTCTCCAAGCTTCTCTGAGTTGAAAAAGCAGAGAGGCTTTTCCATTCATGTTTTCATTATTTTCTGCTCTGTGATTCTGCATGAAAAGCAGTTATTGAAGTTATCGTACATGTAATTAGCTTCACAGTTCCCTAATAAAATCTGAAAGTAGGAGAGAGTCCACCGGGAATGCAGAACTCTTTCCCTAACCTTTCTTCATTCCTTTCTTGGAGGGAAAAGAGGCAGACAGACATCAGCTTTCTGTGTTAAGCCTGTACATGCTCCAGCGGAGCTGCCTCTCAAAAAAAACCCACTTCTTGCATTCTGCAGGACAACTTCTTTTAAAAGCAGTTTCTTGTGATGGGCAAGTTGCAAATCAAAACCATAATTTCAATCATGAGTTCCAGGGGAGGCCCCAGAAAGAG